GTATTCAGCAGGTTCTGACCCGTTCTAGAGAACCAGTAGTGGAAATTTTGAGTTGTTCAGAGAACCAGCAAATCCCACCTCTGACTGGCCCTGCCCTCGTCTATTCTCTGCCTCCCAAGTCCCGGCTGATCGGGTGGGTCTTCTTTGTTGCTCTGCACAGGAGAACGGAGCTGGAAAGCAGGTTAGTGAGGTGGGGAGGGACTGGGGATTTCGCAAAAACCTTCCCCTGCCACACCCACCAAGCCACGCCACGCCCACCAAGCCATGCCCACAGAACCGGTAGTAAAAAAAATTTGCATCCCACCACTGCACGGCACGGCTGGCCTCTGCAGCTAAGCAAGAGAGAATATCCTTTCAGATAATGGTGACTGAGGGTGCTGCCATGGGATGGAAAGGGGGATATTTATATACCGTTCAACCCAGGAACATGTGATGGTAGTGCAAATATCTTCACATCTACAGGTAGTCCTCAACTTACAATCACGTTTGAGCCCAACATTTCTGTTGCTAAGAGAAACATTTGTATGGCCTCATTTTACGACCTTTCTTGCCACAGTTGTTATGTGAATCACTGCAGATGTTAAGTTAGTAACACGACTGTTAACAGAATCTGACTTCCCCATTGACTTTGCTTGTCAGAAGGCAGCAAAAGGTAAATAGGTGACTCCAGCATACGGCAACCTTCATAAATATGAGTCAGTTGCCAAGGGCCTGAATTTTGATCATGCGATTTTGATCATGTGAAAAACGGTCATAAGTCATTTTCAGTGCCGTTGTAACTTTGAACGGTCACTAAACGGACCATTGTAAGTCGAGGACTACCTGTATTCCATAAGGCAGACTAAGTTGATGAGATGCAGCTATAACCTGGGACATCTCTGCCCCTAGTCAGACTGAGCCTAACCATTATAATCCTTGTATAATTGTAACATACATGCAGTAATTCGGCATTGTCCATGATGGAACCATTGGTAGGTGATGGCATAGTATATTCTCCTAACCAGGCATTGAAGCTATATTGGGAATGGTTCCGCCGATGGTTTCCCTGTATGGAGAAAAAGCAAGATTATTTACTGACCATTTTGGATATCCATTCCCTTCCTGCAGCCAGCGGGCTCTGCCAAGGCTGAAACTTAGGCCCAAATCCAAGACCTAAATGGTTGACCAAACTGAGTGGCAAATAGCGAGGTAGCTAATAAACTGTTCTGACCCAGGCTTCGTCAAACGTAATTTAAAAACAAACTTATTTTAAAAGCAAAACCTATTTTATTGCAACACTGGGAATTACTTACATTCCCAGCCAGAACTTATCTTAAAAAGTTCCCCAAGATAAGCACATACCTTTCAGTGCTGTGGAATGCTGCCAAAAACAGAAGTATCCGATTTAATTATAACAGGAACCAAACGAAGTACCAGAAAAAAACACCACCAGATTACATAGAGCTTCAAGGAGGACTCAGAATCTATTGAAGTACTTTGCTTCCTGCAAAGGTTTCATCATTGAGGCCTGACTTTTATCCCTTATGGGAGGGGCAATCCCTTCCCAGCCTTACTCCCGAGTCGCTCCTTTTGTTTCAGCTGCTCTCGCCTTCTAGAAGCTCTGCGCACACGCGCACTGGGAACAGGCTCCCCTGGGTCCTCTGCTTCACTGCTGCCAGTGAAGGCTCCAAAGGCAGCATCCCATTCCCAGATGGTCCTGGCCCCATCCCTGCAGCAGATGCAGGACCCCCATCTGAGTCCTTTCCAGACCTCCCTTTCTTCCTCACTGTCCGATTCCGCTGCTGTCTGCACCGGCTGCTGGTGAACCACAACATAAATGGCACCTCAGTGTGTTTTCTTTCTTCCTTTTGAAAACACTTTATAAAGGGGGAAGTGGTCAAGTGGTGCCTGTGTGATTACCAAACTGACTTTGCATAATGTAATGGGAAGAAGGAATAGCCTTGAGGAACAAGAGGAAGAGCCACAACCCCAAAAGACCAAAGTGCAGGATAGAAATGTAATTTGAGTAGGTATCTCAAACAGGACCTTTCCTAGTTCTCACAAAAGTAAAGGTGTTGGGGGGGGGGGAGACAAAATATTCAGACTTGCAAGATTCTCTTATTGTAACGTTATAATAAAAGCAGCATTGTATTCATAACTTTGGTTTTTCTAATCTGGTCTACCTGGAAGGGCTGATAGACAGTCCCTCCCTCTCTTCTGCAGTACACTATATTTGGGCTCAAGGTTGATCAGCCTTCCATCCCTCTGAGGTGGGTAAAATGAGGACCTGGATTGCTGGAGGCAAGATGCTAGCTCTGTAAACCGCTTAGAGAGGGCTGCAAAGGACTGTGAAGTGGTATATAAGTCTAAGTGCTATTGCTGTGGCTATTTAAAGTATAGGGCTTTTAACTCCAGTATTTAACATTCCATACCTACATGCACTCGGGACTGCTGTCCTGCCCTCTCCTTCATGCACATCTCTCCTTTCACCCCAGTTGGATAAAGATTAACCCTTCCCTTCTTTCAAACCTTTCCTGCCAGACCAGGGGGTTGGACTAGAAGACCTACAAGGTCCCTTCCAACTCCGTTATTCTGTTGAACCCTTTGAGCAAAGGCATCTGTTTTGTCCTCCAAAACTTGCCACCCCAGTGGATCCCCTCATGACCGGACGCCTTACCTTGTGAGGCCGTATCTCTGGCAACATCAAGGATTTGGTACATCCCAGCTTTCTGTGGAGACTTTGAGCCCCAGACTGCTCCCCCCTCACTCTGTCTTCCGTTTGATCCAGATTGGCTCCTGGAGTAGGATCTGCTGGAGCTGAGAGATCATTCCCCTCTATCTGCACCGAGCTCTGTTGAAACAAAATCACAGAAAAGGGGAGCGGGAGGGAGAGAGGAGAGAGAAAGGACGTGAGGCAGGCATGAGCCCAACTATGGCTACCCTTCCTTGTTCTGGCTCTCACCAATTTGATCCACAGCAACCTATTTCTTTCAAACACGGGCCTCAATTCTTTCGGTGCTGTCCCACAGCTGCTGATATAGGCAGAGCCTTCAGGTGCATGGGGACGTGACAAGGAGATGTTGGGAAGCGGGATGGGAAGAGGGATTACTGTACAGACTAGTTGGCAACCATATGCCCTCTGTTCTGACATAGCACACAATAATTCCTCATTACAGACATTTCTCAAGGCATCTCTGGCTGGTGGCCCAAAGTGGAATTCTGGCTTAAAGTACCAGAGAGCAATCAAACTCAAAAGGAAGCCTCTAGAAGAGATATATTAGTGGCAGGTGTCTGTCAATAGCTGAGCCATCTCAGGGCTTGATTTACAGACTGGGAATATCCCCCCACCCCACCCCAGCAATAATGCTGTCAAGTCCACTCCAGAACATTTCCCCCATTGAACAAGTCAGCAACGTGGAATAATTTCAAAACACAATATGCAAAGCAAGACATGTGCCTATCATGTTCTTTCAAGAGCCTAATGCTACCTAGCTGGATTTCTGAATCATAGAACTGAACTGTAATTTCCATATCTGTGTGAGCTCCTGACCTATTTTGCATGCAACCCAAAAATGAGTGACAACCACACACATCCCTCACTTTGATAATGCTTCCATTGTAAATATTTTTTCTTTCTTTCCACTCTCCCAACGGCATCAAGAAGTACATTAACCTGAGAAAATGGTTACAGCTGGCTCAAGTTCACTTAATACCTGAATGAAGATTTGTTGAATCAAGTTCTCACTGAAATACATTTAACATGCCAGATTCTAGGCCATTTTTATCACCCTTATACCAACAGTCTGAGTTCATACATTGATTGGGTTTAGACAAGGTTGAATTATAAGCCATCTTTTACAAACCATCATGGCTAAATCAAAAACGCTAAACCACAGCCAAATAAGTGTCTATGGACATTCTCAGTCATCCAGGTCATAGTTGTCCCAAAAGTGCTTTTTCAAGAGGCAATTGGACTTTCTAGTTTTTCTTTGAAGTCAGAACTGAAGAAGCTTCTTGGATGAGAAGCGAAAGAAAAATCGGAAAGTCCAGTTGCCTCTTGAAAAAGCACCTTTGGGATAGCTAGATAAGCTGCACTGTATGAACAATGTATGAACTCTGCCTTAGGAATGCCAATACACCTGAATTAGATTTTTGAATCATAAATCTCTGCTATTAAAACTATTTCCATCCTATCAAGTTACAGAGATCTCTTAGCTGGAGAAAATACTACTAGTATTAGCTCCAGGTATCTCTTAATACATAGTACTCTTAATAATTAGTACAAATATTAGGTGTTACTAGCAAATTAATTACTTGACCATGAAATCTTATATAGCCAAACCACATTGCCCATACAAAAGAAGGAAGTATCAGGAGGCGAGAGGGTTTGCAGAAACACAAAACTAAGGGGGAAAAGGCTAAACGATTTCCACTAAAAGTCAGTGTGATTCAATGGCTATTGGATTAAGATGGGCATATCCAAGTTTACATTCATTTTCAGGTACAGAAAAGTCCCTGGGCCATTGAATCCTACACTCCTCACAGAGTCGCTGCTGTGAGGACAAAATGAAAGGAAATCACCCTGGAAGCTGCTTTACTGACCTCTCCCAATTAGAGCAAGATATAAACCAAAATAAATAAATAAATAAATAAGCAAATAAGCTAGATGAATCCAACTGAAATGATTGTGTTCCACTGCCACAGAACATCGATTGCTTCATGGGGACGGAAGGAAATCAAGCAGAAAGCAGAAAGAATAGAAAGGTGTACTGGAGAGAAGGAAATTATTGTCTGGGTTACTCTAGATGCAAGATTTTCTCCCTCCTATAACTTTTTAAATATTTTTTAGCTCATTTGGATCAAATCACATCCCCAAAATAGACACCAGCAAGTGAAAAGTCATTTGGTTGAAAGTGTACAGGAAATCCTTGACTTACGATTGCAATTGAGCCCACAATTTTGGTTGTAAGTTGTGACCTTTGTAAAGCAGATCACCATGGGACTGTGCCTGTTGTTAAGTGAACCCATTGTTTGATATAGGTTTTTTTTGGTGGAAATAAACACCAGTTTCTGGAAAAAATGTTGTAACTCAGTCACATTTCCACAGGATGCTGCAAATGGCTATAAGTGTGGGCTGGTTGCCAAGCAACCATAATGCCATCATGAGGCCACAGGGGATCCAAACATCGTAATTCTGAGTCTAGGCCATAGTAGCTTTTTCAGGGTCTGACAGAACTTTGAACAGTCACTAAGTGACCTATTGCAAGTCAAGGACTACCTCTAAATCAGCTCAGTATTTGCCAGCTAAAACACTTTTTGGGTAAAGGCACAAACCAATCAAAAGTAAGGATTGGATTGCTGAGGCTAAGTAGCATGGATGTCCCCCAACAATTCTAGCTTCTCACCATCTCTTGGCTCCTCCTGGGTGGCTTCCATGACTTTTCACCTGTTGTAGGCTTATAGTAGAAACTACGCAGAGAGTTGGAGTCTATGTGATGTTCCCAGGCTTCCAGCATCTGTAATGGTGGGCTGCGTGGGGTAGGAGGTGTCGTTGGTAACTGCTTCATCTCCTCCAGATTGTAATAAATTGGAGGCTTCTCTCTCAAGAGAGGCGGAGGAGTATCATCCAACATCTGCTAGAAAGAAGCAGGAAATAAATGAGAGTTGGACTTAACATACTGCTTTCATCACTGGAAAAGGGACCTGGTAGGAAAGGATTAACTCTACCACTTTTACTCAGAATGTGAGGCTTAGGATCTCTTCCTGTCCCATGGAAGAAACTTCATTCACTCAGTAACTATCTCTCGGGCCAATCTACTTCGCAAGGTTGTTGTGAGGAAAAATGGGAGGAAGGAGCACTATGTACACTGCCTTGTGCCTGAACAAATGGTGGGATTTAAAAGAAATACCTCTAACAAATACAGTAAATCAATACATTCCACTGGGAGGACAAGAACTTTCAATTAGCAGGGTATGCGGAATGAGAAGAATAACGTGTAATGATCAGTACAAGGTAGTAAAGTAATTCTCTTCTTGATCCTTGGACCCCTTAGTTACTCTTAATCTTCTCTCTTTTCCTAAACAAGAAGAGACTGTAGCCTTCTCGTTCCTTTCTCTCATTTGCAAATAGGCAAGTGATGTGGATGAATAGGAGCTAACGGATGGACTTCTCTAAGTGCCAGCAACTGGCTCTCTCCTCCCCATAGTTGGAACCATGTATAATTCTGCTCTATAATTCTGCTTCATTTTAGGGATGGGGAAATACCTTTCTTGAGTATCTTTTCTCTAGTGTCTGACTTGCCTAATGGATACACTAGCCTTCCTTGTTCTTTTCTAGGGGTTGTCACCCAGTGCAATATACTTCCACATCCACCATCCTCCAGTTCTTCCATCAGCCACCCCATTGACGGAATCTTGGGGGCTTGCTCTCCTTGTGCTCTGAGAGGATATGTGCTGTTGTATTGCTTGTCCAGCCTCTAGACCGGTTTCTTTTATTTTTACGTTAGCATATGGCAAAAATATTAAAAAGTATATCAAAATTACATTTTCAATGAGCAAATATGAAACTGTTTACTCTGTTTACAAATTCAAAGGTAGACTGTTTACTGCCTAGAGTCAATACATGATGGAGTTGCATATGGAAAATCTCTGGGGTTTCCCCGATATGAGAGCTGAGGTGGCACAGTGGTTAGAATGTGGTATTGCAGGCTAATTCTGCCGACTGCCAGCAGTTCGATCCTGACCAGCTCAAGGTTGTCTCAGCCTTCTATCCTTCCAAGGTTGGTAAAATGAGGACCCAGATTGTTGGGGGCAATAGGCTGACTCTAAACACTTTAGAGGGGGCTGTAAAGTACTATGGAGCAGTATATAAGTCTAAGTGCTACTGTTATTGTTATATGTGCTCAGAGGGGCACAAGAAAGAAACCTCCCTGAAGAGTATACGAATTGATGGCGATGACACACAATTTCAGCTAATTCTTCCACAACAGCAGCCAGACAATATCCTGGCTTAAAACACATCACTATGAGAAGACCTCATAGGACTTAGCATATAGAAGGACTTAACATATAAAAGTGTAGGCCTGTGTTTCAACCTTGGCAGCTTTAAAATGTGTGGGCTTCAATACCCAGAATTCCCTGGTCAGCATGTCATGTTAGGCATTTTCTGAATTTTTGAATTTTTTCACCATCCTAGTCCGACCATGCACGAGCACTTTCAGAGATGGCCTCGTGTCAGCATGAGAGAGAGCAGAACTTTGTGAGACCAGAGTTTCTAGGGGCTTTTACGACTGTTAATTCCTCTTGCCATCTTGACTGCCTGTTCTGGCAGTTTCCGGCTGGCCAATCAGATTTTGCTCTCCCAATGCTCCTCATGAAGAGGAGAAAGAATGCTTTTTTTTCAATATGTCAAAGAGTCAGCACCAATGGAGGGTAAGGATTTCCTCAGTGGCCTTTACCCACTCCCCAACCCCTGAAGCACTGCAGGCAAAACTACAGTCAATGCTACCACTTTCCTCCTCCATACTCTGCAATCTCTGGAGACCTAATCAAGCTCTTCCTGCATTTCCTAAGCTATTTTCCTGGCCCAGCATCATAGCGCTTTCAGGTGTGGCCTCCTGCCAATATGCCAATCAAATGGCATATGGTTACCACAAACCACTTCATGCAGGGTGGGGAAGAGCCCTGGTTTCGGCCTTCATCATTATTTTCTTTTTAATCTCCCAAGATTGAGCCACTGGTTCCTCTCTAGAAAGCAGAACAGAAGGCTAAATTGAGAGGTATTTCCTCCAGGGGGAAGTGAAGATGTTTTAAGATCCTTTTCTATCACAATCAGCTTCATCTATGTAAAAATGACTTTTACATAACAAAGAGCCAGACTTCCCCTCTCTGCATGTTACAAGGAAGGATTAATGATATTTCAGGGATTTATGGAATTTTATGGTGGGTCTCATAAAGACAGTGAGCCATTCGAGCTTCAGAATAAACTGAGTAGATTACCTTGGTCATCAAAACATTTGATTTTTCAAATGCGGGGGGGAGTCCAAACCGTTAAAAGAATCAAGTTATAATTCTTTAATCCTGCTGATCAATTCATCCAAGTTCTAAGCCTATCCTATTTAGCACTGTTTTTTTTTTTAATGCAGCCATGGTCACTTATTGTTTCAATTGTTTTTGTGCAGAGCAGAATGTTTAAATAAATAAATAAAAAACCGGTCCTATATCACAGGTTGGCAATAAAAATGGATGCCACCAGATGAGAGAAGATTAGGATTACTGATTTAGAGATCACAGTTACTTTCCAAGTTTGTTCCCATGGCCAGACATAAGGTATGTTTTTATGTATGCACACAACATTTATAAAATATGTGTATCTCACTGCATTTGCACTGTCACAGCACAATGTGACAAAAGAGTTAAACATTTACCTTCCACCAGGAGCTATTGCAGATTAGAGCCAAACTGATATCTGGCACCTATTGCTTTTAGTAGCATTTTAGAATCAGTACTTGAGCCCTAAAAATTAAGCCAGATACTGGGTTTTACAAAATTTTATTATTTGTAAATTGTTGTAAAACTGTTGGAATCAGGAGTCTATAAATTCAGGAAACAAATACAAGTAAAAATGTCTAGAATTCAAAGGAATTCTAATGCACAGTGAATGATCAACTGCATAGAATAGCTTGTTTTGTGCCATTGCAGTCGATTATGGCTTTGTAGGATAATAATCAGCATCTTCATGTTTTGCCTAAAGAAGTTGAAGGCACTACTGATATTAAAAGCCTTCAACATTCCCATCAGGAAGTAAACAAAGCAAAATAAGTGCCATAGATGTCTTAGGAAGAGATAGATATAGTTGGTTTGAGCCCTTCTCCAAAATAGTCATTGGAATAACCAGAGAGAGGGTCAACAGTGCACACATAGATAAAAGGACTCACCCTAAGATGGCAAGGAGCTACTCCTGCTTAAGAGATTGTAAGGATATAAAAATATAAGGAAAGACTTGCTCTTTGCTATTATTTTTTAAACTTTAAATCCCCAAATAACTTTACTGGGAAATGTGGCAACCGAAATCCACTACATCTAGAAGGTACAACCTAAAAGTTGGTTGGGGTACAGTGTTGGATTTTGGTCAGGAAGACCTAAATTCTATCCCCCTACAGAATGAGGTCCATCATTTTCTCATGTTGTCTACAGTCTATTATTTTGAGGATAGAATTGGGTCACTTTTCAATTATGGAACAGGGACATATTATTCCAAATAACTATGTAAGAATGAATAAACACCATCCAGAGTCCAGCCAGAGTGGAGCAGTTTAAACTTTTCGTGGATGGATGGATGGATGGATGGATGACAGATGGACAGATAAACAAAGATACATAATGACCAAATTTCCTTCTAGCTACTCTCGTCTAAATAAGAAGAACATGGCAGCTGTGAGTCTTTTCTTAGGCTGAGCCACAGCTGTTTCACCCTCTACCCATGTAAACAATTTCCATATAACCCCACTGACAGATGCATATAGCTCCAGCCAATTCTTCCCAGCTCCACCCAACTCCATACAGATTCCCTGCTAATGCCTATCTACACAGTGCCCTCTCTAGCATAGTCACAGCTGTGGCTCCTTCTGCCTGCTTGTCTATGTTCATTGCTCAAGAGGAAGTTGAAAACGGGTTGCTTCATGGCAGAAGTCTGGAAGAATATTGCTAGTGGTCCAGAGAGTTTCTTCCTCTTCCTCACTTTGTCTCAATTTTGATTATGTTTTCTTCTAAAATCCACCTCTCAGAGGTGATCCCTTTTATCCTACCTCAAGTCTTCAGGCCTTCAGAAGTTTTCTAGGAAGCACCGATACCCCCACAGTCCGGTACTTACTGTCAGCGCCAGCTGTGCGGTTCAGGGGCGTGTGCAGAGGAGTTGGCCCTCCCACTAACTTCCCCCACATCCTGTGTGGGTGGCAGAGGCTACTACCCCTTCCAATGAAGGGAAAGACAAAGAGGAAATTGTGCAAGGTAGCAGGGCAGATGTTCAGATAAGCAGCTCTCACCCATCTGGTAGACTCTTGACAGAAGAAAAAATATGTACGCAGGAGTCCACAGCAGTCAGAGACCGTGAAGAACGTATGATATAAGTCAGGATGGAAGGACTGGAACTTAATGCAGTGAAAGCTTACAGTTAAACAGCTTTAAAGGGGATATGAGTCAACTTTTCTGAGAAATTTGTCATTCTAGAGGTGTGTCATAAGGTTATATGAAGGCCTTGACTGAGAGTGACTTTGAAGATTTTTTTTTAAATTTCACTTAATGTCTATGCTTGTACTGGGGACACCTTCAAAATATTCTGCTTTCTTCCTAAACTGGGTAGTATTATGGACATTCAGATGATTCTGTTCAAAATACAGGGGAACTTCTAAATCCTCATGTTGTGCTTTTCAACTATTTCCAGAGGATCATCTATCTTAGTCTATGCTGCCAAAAAGACTGGATCTTGTGATAACTTCAAGACTAACAGACTTTATGATACCTTATATTCCTATGGACCACATCAGGAGTTTTCAAACTGTGGATTGGGACATGAGCACCCAGGGCAGGAAGTGATGACACATTTGCACAAGCAAAGTAGAAGCACTCTCAAAACTCACTTCTGGTTTTGCTCCTCATTTTGCTTGTGAAAATCTGCAATGGATGTTTTTTGTAATGCAGAATCCCTTACCTCATCCTAATTACATAACTCGATCAGGGCAAAGCAATAGACGCAATCTATATAGACTTCTGTAAAGCCTTTGATTCAGTGGTACACGACAAACTACTCCTAAAAATAAAACCCTATGGTATCTCTGGACACCTACATAACTGGATAGAAGCATTCCTGTCAAACAGACAACAAATGGTCAAAATTGGGAGCGTCCTATCAAATTCTGTACCTGTCAACAGTGGTGTCCCCCAAGGCAGTGTTCTAGGACCAACTCTCTTCATACTCTACATAAATGACCTCTGTGATCATGTTAAGAGCAACTGCGTTCTCTTCGCTGATGATGTAAAGCTATTCAACACCACAGACAATACTGCTACCTTCCAAAAAGACCTCGACTATGTATCAGAATGGTCAATCAAATACCAACTTCAAATCTCAACTAACAAATGCTCTGTCTTACATATTGGCAAAAAAATAATAATAAGAAAATAAAATACAAGCTGAATAGTCAAGGCCTTGTTGAGGATCCAAACTCTGTCAAGGACTTTGGAGTACTCATCTCTAATGATCTAAGTGCTAGAGCCAGCTGTAACTACATAGCCAAAAAGGCATTAAGAGTTGTTAACCTAATCCTACGTAGCTTTTTCTCTGGTAATATCACACTACTAACTAGAGCATACAAAACATTTGCTAGACCTATACTCGAATACAGTTCATCAGTCTGGAACCCATATCATGTATCTGATATTAACACAGTTGAGAAAGTCCAGAAATATTTCACAAGAAGAGCTCTTCGCTCCTCTACTCATTGCAGAATACCTTATGCCACCAGACTTGAAACTCTAGACCTAGAAAACCCAGAACTATGCCATGTCCGGTCCGATCTAAATATAGTATATAAAATCATACATTGCAATGTCCTACCTGCAAATGAATACTTCAGCTTCAACCATAACAATACAAGAGCAAACAATAGATACAAACTCAAGGTTAACCGCACCAAACTTGATTGGAGGAATTACTACTTCAGCAACAGAGTGGTCAATGTCTGGAATACTCTACCTGACTCTGTGGTTTCTTTCCCAAACCCCAAAAACTTTAACCTTAGACTGTCTACTATTGACCTCACCCCTTTCCTAAGAGGTCTGTACGGGGCGTGCATAAGCGCACCAATCATGCTTACCGTCCCTGTCCTATTGGTTTTTTTTATTTTTCTTATACGTATCCATATCATGTATTCAAAACTATGTTTATACTTATACCTGTTATCTTGTAAGCGATTGACAAATCGAATAAATAAATAAATAATTCCACAGAAATGCCTTGAATGTTTAATATATCATTTTTCCTATGTTTTTATTCTTTAGTCCACCCTTTTTAGTTTGTTTACTTATTATTTATTAAATCAATCTGCTGCCCATCTTCCTTAAAGGCAACCCTAGGCACTTACACAATTTTAGTTGTTCTGGAGATGGTCTTCCTGCTCATTCAAGAACTGAAGCAAAATATTAGGGAGAGACCTTTTTTTTAGAGGAGGGGGAGTGAGAGAGGGAGGAGGAAGCATATCCCTTGCAGCCTGCCTGAATTCTTACAGCATAGACCCTTGACACAAGGATAAGAATATAAGAGCAGCGCTGCTGGCCCAGGCCAAGATCCATCTTAATCCAGGGTTTTTGTTCCCTAGAGTAACCAACCAGGTGCCATTCAGAAACATAGTCATCTCTCAGGATTGCTCCCCTGCAACTTCTGGATTGATGGCAGACTACAACCTCTCCCCACTTGCTCTCTGCTCTCCATCTATTCATCTTTATGTTATCACGTTGATGTATTTTCACTGAGTTCTTTTTCATTATTTATTTTATTGTTCTATTACTTTACTTCTGTTCTGTTTTCATCTCTCCCTTTTTATTGTTGTAAGCTACCTGGAATAGCCCCAAGGCAATATAGATGGCAAAAATATTTAACAAATAAAGTAAATAAATAAACTGATATTTGAACACATTGCTGGAACAAGAATTCTAGGAAGAAGCCAAGGGAAGTCAGTCAAATGATTTGAGGAGCACCTAATATCAAAACAAGCTTCTACAGCTCTGAGGGTGAAACCAATTTTGACTTCTGCTCACTTGCAGCATTTTTACCTAGGATAACTGGGGAACATCCTGCTTGGCCATGGCCTACAACTGTCATTTAGTCTGAATAAATGAACACAAAAGATTAAACAAACAATAGTGAAATTAATCTTGCTTATTAGAGTCATGGTAGCACAATGGTTAGAGTGCAGTACTGCAGGCTACTTCTGCTGCCTGCCAGCTGCCTGCAATTTAGCAGTTTGAATCTCACCAAGCTTAAGGTAGACTCAGCCTTCCCTCCTTTCGAGGTGGGTAAAATGAGGACCCAGATTGTTGGGGGCAACATGCTGACTCTGTAAAGTGTAAACCACTTAGAGAGGGCTGTAAAAGCACTGTAAAGTGGTATATAAGTCTAAGTGCTATTGCTATTATAATGCCCCTAAGAAAGAGGACTAATTGCAGGAGATTCAGCATACTTAAGCCAGCCTCATACTTCTTAACATAATAGACAGTAGAATTCATTAGTAAAGATGTAGGATTGACAGGTTTATGAAAAAGCGACTGAATAGAAAGTCCACATTCAGAGAGATAGCAGATGCCTAAATATTAGGCCCTGAATTTTGATGTCCAGAGAAAGACTTAGTTCTCACTCACTGCTGGAAAGCTCCCAAAACTATTAGGCTGTAGAATGTGCAAACAGAAACATAAGGCATGAAATTGCTCGTACTATGTCCAGAGTGAGTAGAGGGTAGATTGAAATCTAACATACGTTTTCAGGATGCTCTAATGAAAGATCAGCAAGATTGTGTGATTTTCAGCACAAAAGCAACAACAAGGAGACTTTTCTTTCTAAAATTAGATGAATGACTGAAACCCAGAAATGAGTCAGTTACAAAAAGATAGAATTCAAGTTCTGAAAAATTTGGTTTATGTTCAAGGGCATTCTGATGGCAACCTTGTGTGCGTAGGTAGCAATGCACCTCCAACAGTTCCCCTGACACTGACTAGGTTCTTAGAGTCACTCTGACCATTGTTTTTATAAAAGCATTTAATATTGAATGGGAAGGTAGCATGGCGCAAAGTGCTGGATCCAATATAACCCTTTTATACAATAATGTTCAGTGGCACACATAAGTCTCCAGGCATCCTTAGGAGTTTAAAATGGTGGGTAGCTGTGGCCCAATGCTTTGTTTAGAACTGGGCTCAGCTGCTGAGAGGAATAAGATAAGATGGGTGAATAAGGAAGCATCTGGAGCAGCATGTCCCAAACTTTCCAGCTTTGCGGATCAGTGGGGAGGGGGAAGTGGATGGTTCTGTGTTAGTGGCAGGTGAGCACATGTGCATACACACACTCGCCCTCCACTTCTGTGGCCCGGTTCTGAATGGGTCGTGGCCCAGAGATTGGGAATCCCTGATCTGGAAGATTCAGAAAGCACTTTCTCTGCTGCGTATGTCTACTAGGACAGTTCTTCTGTGACACTGCAAACCCACCACCACAGACAGATTGTGACCACAAGCCATAAAACACTCTAAATTCCAGGTTTGACGCCACATATGGAACAAAACCTCCCTTGACAATATTCGTTTGCAATTTTTAAAAAGATAGAAAAATCTTTGATAAGCAAGTAGGCTTTAACGGCCAGTTAGAGTAGTTGCTGGATGTTTTTCTTTTTCTTATGCATTTTAGTTGCATCTGAATACTTTTTAAAAAGTGTTACATTATAATATTAAACAATTATAATCATTAATATATTTTTTATTGATGTTCGTCTCTTGGGTACCATATATTTATATCTAAAAGAAGCTGTCAAGCTTTGAATCACATTATTGTATATTGTATGTGTCTAAATGCTACCTGTGTCATGATAATAGGAAAGGCACTTAGACTTATCTTCACAGTGCTTCACGGCCTTCTCTAATGTTGAAAGTGCTGTTTGGGTTTATCCCAGCTGCTTTAATATTATCTTGTTATGATGTTTTTTATTTTATTTTTATTCCATGTTAGCTGCCCAGAGTTATGTCTGCAATGGGCAGCTGTATAGATAGAATACATAAACATATAAATGAAGTCTGAGAAAAGTAAAAGGCTGAACTCACCCTATAATATGTCTCACTTCTTGCTAGCTCTTCCTCTGAACTTTGCCACTGCTTTGTGCTTTTGCATTTCATCTGAGACAGGGCACTCAGGCTGTGACGCCTACCAAGAGACAGCTGGCGGATTCTCATCTTGGCAGAAAGGTTGCGGCAGGACAATAGATCTGTGTGGGAAGATGATGAGGATGGCTGCACCCAAAGATCCTCCAGAGAATGAGACATTTCCAAGCATTCTGCAAGGAAGAAAAGACGAATCAGAAAGGATAATTCTTGACTTTCCTCACACCAAAGGTGGTATTCAGCAGGTTCTGACCAGTTCTGGAGAACCAGTAGCTGAAATTTTGAGTACTTCGGAGAACCAGCAAATACCACCTCTGACTGGCCCCACCCCCATCTATTCTCTACCTCCCAAGTCCCAGCTGATTGGCTGTCTCTTCTTTTGTTGCCCTGCACAGGAGAACAGAGCTGGAAAGCAGGTTAGTGGGGTGGGGAGGGAATGGAGATTTTGCAGTATCCTTCCCTTGCCACGCCTACCAAGCCACGTCCACCAAGCCACGCCATGCTCACAGAACTGGTAGTAAAAAAAAAATTGAATCCCACCACTGCCTCACACATTCTATGTTCAATGAAGCTTTTGGTTCAACAAGGGTTGATCCAAATTAAGGAGACATTTCCTGACTGTGAGGAAAATTACCTTTGGGTTTTGCCTACTGTTGTTTTGATTTTATACCGACTCCCACCTTGGGAATGTCTGCAGTGAAAAGTAAAGAGACACTCTGGAATAATTCCTGACTCCTGGGGACTACATCCAATTTTTTTTTTCTTGGCAGCATTGCAATTATAGCTAGCCATAGCCTTTTCCTATAATAGGCCTTTTACTTTCCAGTCCATCCAATAGTCGTGGTGAAAATCCAAGTGTGAAGTAAGCCCTACCAGTCTTAACTTTCAAGTTCGGGAAAGGCTGCCGAAGTCTTTTTGAGACTTCCAGTGGAAACAGAATATGAAAACTCTGTCCTAAAAATCTTCTCTGCTTAGATTTGCTTAGATCTATATCCTAGCCCTTGAAGCAATCCCTTTCTGTTTCTAAGCTCTTGAGGGTCCAGCCCATTGACATAAGTTTGCTGTTTCTGATTTTTCAGTGTCAGTGGGAATCTTTGGGAATCAGTGACACTGTGAAATTTTAAAGATGTTTGGTCCTTTTCTTCTAACTCACTCTCTCAATTGTCAGGTTTTTTTTTTAAGCTAACAGTCTTTCTATTTATTGTCCAGGAATTCTCTTTGTCACTGTCACTACTGACTAAGTGTCACGGGCCAGCCATCAGTGGTGAAAGGCTACCGGTTCAGCCCGGGTTGGCTGAAGCGGTAGCAAAAAGCTCCGACGATCAGCTGAGAGGCGAAAGAAAAGCGCCGGATTGACCCTCCCACTCGCCCCTGCGCTTTTCTGTTCTTTATCCTCTCAGCTGATTGGCACGGCAGAGCCTCAGCTGGTGTTTGGAAAGCTGTGCACGCACCTGCGTTAGGTGTGCATGCGCGCAAACCCGTGAAGTGTGCGATCACCAAACTGGTAGGGAAACTGGTAGAATCCCACCACTGCCGGCCATCATCTTATTAGTCTGCTTTCCCACAAACAGTGCCCTGGATCAATCACACAGGACTACCGTCAGGGGTATAATGACACCATATGTAGATTCATAAATATTTGTATGAAGGCTGGGCATTCTTTTAGGACTGGAGACAACGGCTCTCTTTTGAGAGGGATAGTGTCTTGAAAATAGGTGAAGTAGTTGTTACACGAATGGGCAACGCTACAATTTTCTGTTTTCCTAAGTTTAGGGGTAGGAATGTGATTTTTTTCCCCCCTTTGCTTTTAGAAATTGTGTTTACTAAGGGTAATCAAATTTCCAAAAGGGGGGGGCGGGGAATCTATACACCAGTGGTAGTCAACCTGGTTCCTACCGCCCACTAGTAGGCGTTCCAGCTTTCATGGTGGGCAGTAGGGGTTTTGTCCCCTACTTTATAAATCACCATTACTGTGGAACCGGTGGGCAGTTAGAAATTTTTTTACTATTAACAGAGATACAAAAGTGGGCGGTAGGTATAAAAAGGTTGACTACCCCTGCTATACACGAAGGTTAGCAGGTCTTGGCTTCAAAAATCTATACAACCACTAGATGGCAACAGGCCTACTCACAAAATTATAACTCTGCTGCCATCTCGTGCTGTTTCGGTTTCTCACAGTTCAAACATGCTTGTTTACTTGTGGGTACCTGAGTTGCAGTGAGTGACAAATACTGATCATTTTCTATGCTATACTTGACTGATTTGGAATGATATGGCACTTTTCCTCTGAAACCAGGATGTCTGATTCCCTGAATACATTGCATTTTTTGTGTGTGAAAATGTTTCCACCCCAAAATGATGGGAATGTCCATCCAATGTTCAGCTATTGTGGTGGTGGGGACTCCAGAGATAGGATAAAGTTGCTTGGTCATTGCAACTCCTGGAGTTCAAGTTGCCCAATCCTGATTTAATCCCTTGAACTTCAAAAAAAAAAAAAAAAACCAAACTTACCTGGATCTCCATCCTTTTCTGAATGGATGCCAGGATGCAAGACGACATTTTGCTGTAGGCTTGTTCTTTTATCATAGGTCACTTCAGCCACATAGGATGCTGGGACAAAGATGGGCCTCTTCTGCTTAGGCTGGCCGAACCGCTTCACCTGCCACCAATCCTCATTGGCCTTGTGCACAAGGTGGAAGATCTCCCCTTCCTCAATGATCACCTGCCTGCCATCTTCAGATTTGTACTGATAGTCATAGAGAGCCTGCAGTACCACACTGCCTGGAGAATCCAGAGAAGATTCACCCAGCGGGTGATTGAACCCTTCCCAGAACCGCCTCCTATTTGAAAACATCTTGCCAAGTCAGGTTGATCAGAAAGAGCTAGGAACTCTGGGCCTCAGCATGCTAACTTTTCACCTGTGATGAAAATAATTGCAGCAATAAATTTAGATACGGTGAAAATATAACTGATGTACAATGCCAGTAAACTAAATGCCTTAGACATTGTTATGTCTGAGGATATTATTCAAAATTTCATAAATTGTGAATTATTTAGTAGGTAAAATACTAGACAATACTGATTTATGTAAGTTTGGACTACTAAAAATAAGAAGCATGCTGAAAAAATTAAAAAATTTCCTCTATAGCTCAATGTAATATCTTGTGATGGTAACTCAAACAATAGCTGGCGATGAATCTCTTTTTCCCGGGAAGAAAAAGGATAGAACAAGTTAGTTAAATATTGGCTAAAAACAAACTTTCTTGATTTATTGCTACAAAAACTATCTCTGATAGAATTAGTCTTTGCTAGTGATTAAGGTGCTGACTTCGAAACCAAGACACTTGGAATTCTAGCCCTCTGAGGCATGAAAACTAAATGAGTGATTTGGTGCCAATCATTCTCAGCCCAACCCATCTTACAGAGTTGGGGTTAGGGTGAAGTTTTATGAGTGTACAGAACAAACTGTCCGGCATTTGGCTTTTTTTTTAATGCAAAAAAAAAAACCATTAATGGTGCAGAAAATGCTAGACTATAAAAGGAAAGTAGAGCCAGAAAGAGGTAATAGTTCTATAACCAAGAAGGGAGTATCTATCTTCAGCCCCCAACTATTGGACTCTTTTCTCAGACATTGCATGTCAATATTTCTGTATACATGGATTAAGTCAAGTCATGAATGACTTTTCAGGAGAGCTATGAGGTTAGGAAAACAATCACAGCATTTTTTAAACCTATGGTTAATTCTATCCTCTCCCACTTCTGAAGAATCTTCTAAGTCACCAGAAGCACCCAAGTAGCTGTTGCAACAGGAAGCAACAAGGTGCTTGCATCTTCTTGCAGAGAATGAACACAGTCATATTAAGCAAAAATGGTTCCGTGGAATTTCAAAAACAGAAGCAGCTGGGAGGGAAAGTAAAGCTGTCTTCACCACCCCCACCACCCCTGGAATTCCCTAATCTTGTTCTTGAAAGCATCTCTCAGAGCGTCTTTGCTCTCCAAGGCAAAGTTTATATTGACCCAGAAATTGCCCTCAACACACCAGATCATCTTCAGAACCAGGGAGAACCAACTCTGTAAAGATCACTCTATCCACTGTATGAGGGGCCATTCCACATATGAATGATCAACTTTTGTGATCAAGAACTGTTAGTTTCACACTTACAGACACAAGAACTCATATTATAATACAAATGTGGAGACTCCACATTTAAAAGAGTTTATATAACAATCATTTGGGAATAAGAGTGCTCTAAAAATGAAATGAAAAACAAATATTTAAAGTAAAAATAACAAAATAAATACTCATTCTATAAAATGCTTTTGACCAAAAGGAGAAGTAAAGGCTGATGTGGTGAGCTGGCGAAGCTCAACTTTAATCTCTTTGCTGTCCTTCTTTCTGGGCCTTTAGATTATTGTCCCAAAGTTTAGCTCTAGCTATACCATTAAAAGGACAGATTGAAAAAGCCATGGAGCTTCAAAATACCGTCTACGGTGGTGGCATTGGCTTTGTTTCCAGGACATGGTAACCTTGGCCAGCTACTGAAAGCGGATGTAAGACAGAATCCAGAGGTGAGTGTGGCTAGATACCCTTATGTCACCAAAAGGCTTCTCAGAAGAAACTTGTCTTTCTTGTTGTGTTTAAAAGTGCAAGAGAAAGAAAGCCAGAATCTAACAAATTATGTATGGGTTCCATGTTTGAAAGCGAAGGTACTACTCAGAACTCTTGTGCTTTCAACATTTTTCCTAAATATATATTTTTTCACTCAGTGCACAGCATTGTCTCGACACTGTTCCTTTCCAGTCCTGATTGTCATTAGGGAGATGCAACACAAGATCATGCTGGCAGACTTCAAGACTGACAGCTAGATTGAAATGCCCTTTAATTTCTCACTAGCCCCCCCCCCTCAAAGTTGTCCTGAGACATGTTGGAAACTTCAAATGATAATCCCTCTTCTTCCAACACTTCTCCCTGCAATAAACAATATTCATCTGGATGAGAAGCTCGGAAGACAGTGATTCCCGCTCTCAACACCATTGATTGACACCACTGTAACCTGGGTTTGTCTTTGAAGATGTCTCAGGAACTACAATCAATACAAAAATGCTGCAGTCAAAATGTCTACAGGTGAAAGCAGCTATTTTAGCATAATATTAACTCACTGGATGCCCCAATGATCACCAATAGGTATGAGAGTCACGTTCTAGGTCTTGTAAGCTATCAAACAACTCTTTCCAAGCTGATTCTCTGAGATACTTTGACTACAAATCCCACTGCCTTGGACAAATACAAACTGTAGTTGTATCTTGGTGCTCCTGATTGCTATTGAAATCTCCTGAGTATTTGCAGCTTGGGAGAAAGTTGATTGAATACATGCAGGGCCAGATGGAAAGACAAAACAATCTTTAAGTATTCCTAGGTATTCTGACTTCAGATGAAAGCTTCCTGTTTATAAATTGTAGCCTTTTATTGTTTCCTGTTGAACAGAATAGAGAGTCAACTGAAAAGTGGCCTATTCATCACCGCTCTAATAATGACTCAAAATCATTGTTTAGGGCCAGTTTCTGTTGTGCTTAAATGTTTTTTTTAAAGATTTCTTGCCATTTTTAATGATTTATATAATGGATTTATATGGCCACCCATCTCTCTCGATAATGATTCTGGAGGCTTGCAACATTTAAAAATGCACAAACCATAAAACATAGCAGCAGATGCAGCAGCCAAGGAATTGGACCAGTCTAGAAGGAACAATAAGCACATCATGGGCTCCTGTTAATAGTCCCTTTCTAGATAAGATCCATAGGAAAAGGCCCTTCCTAAAGTCCATCAGAATTGAGCTAATCTAATCTTGGGAACAACAATATTCCATAGGGCAGGGACAACAAGGAAAAAGCTTCCAGGTCCTGCAAGAAGACACTATATTATATACTAGCATGGCAAGAGGATATGTTGAAAAAAATATAATTAAGAAAGCCAGTTTAGCGTTGTGGTTAAGTGCTAACCCAGAACTAGGAGACTGTGAGTTCTAGTCCCATCTTAGGAACAAAAGCCAGTTGGCTGACCTTGAGTCAGTTGCTCTCTCTCAGACCAATATTGTTTTCGGGGAGCAATAGGGGGAGGGAAGAGTATTAGGTGTGTTTGCTGCCTAGTGTCACCGCTGTATAAAATAACCTGGAGTTATTCTGGAATGCATTTATATCTCATGGAAGGGACTAATTGCTTTAAAGCAGAATTTGGAATTTGTGGGGGGGGGGGGGGGGACCCCCCCCTTTTTTTAAAAAAATCCCCCGTTTGGGGTTTTTCCCTAAGGGGGGCTGGGGGAAAACCTTCAACAGCAAAGGTTCCCATTCCTTGATTTGAAGACTGGTTTTATCCATCCAGTTGCTTTCCGGTTCTTCTATTTTTATCATATATTTGCACGTACATCTCAGAAACAGTGCATTCACACATCACACTAAAAAGAAACCAGACAGGTCATGTTATGATTTCCTTTGTTGGTTCAATAGCATTTTGTACACTTGTTAAACTCCCTTATACCTGTAAGTACATATATGGGTTTAACTCCTGATGAACTGTACATAAGCCACAATGGAAATCTTTTTTACAGAAAAATAACACTGCTTTGAATAGCACTAAACACTATTTTTAACTAACTGCACACTGCAGTTATTTTTATTGTATATCAAACACCCTACTTCATTTATTGTTACATTTGTTTGTTGTCATCCTCTAAGTTTGCTATGATTAGATTTTCAGAAATACAGATGAGCTGCTTCTCTAGTTCCAGAAACCGTGAGAAGGATTGGCCCATTTCTGTGTGCAAGGCGTCATGTGGCAAGTAGATCTGCTTGAAAAAACGTATGTGAAAGAAGAATCAGAGCTGCAGTCCTAGCCACTCCTGAATCTTTCAAGATGGGAGTCCAGCTTTCAAAATGGAAACTAAGCCACTGACAGTTAAGATGGCCTTAAATCTGAGGAAGACTGTCCTGCATCAATGAGTCTACAACAGATAACTCTTCTTCTACAGCTCTTTGGGAATATTAGCTGACCCCACTACAACCCTCTCCTGTTTTCTGACAACTAGTCCTTCTGAGAAAATATGCCTCAGAAAACACTAATCATGGAAACGTTGTCTTGTTTCTTCTTGAAACTTCAGCTAGAAATAAGAAAGAATGCAAACTCCCACTTCCTTATTTTTTTCTGCATTTCCTCCCATATCAGAATACTGCATTCATTTTGCTGTCTTGTTCAGAAGCCCCATTTTCCCCCTGCCACTGCTTGCCCACCTAAAATGGGAAACCCCATTCCCTAGCCAGTAAGACAGGAGGAATGGAGTATAATTTCAATTAACAATCCACAGAAAAGAAAATAAGATTGTAGCCCTACTATAATAAACTTCTCATTATCCCAGAACAGTTATATTTACCTGAGCCCATCACATAAAGAGACAGATGACTATCCTGGAGTAACAGCTGTTATTTCAGTCTTGGACCCATTCTGTAGCCATTCTTTTCATCTTTCACAGAAATGAAGAGAGAATGGAGATGTATTTTCCTTTTTAAAAAACCTTTAGTGTACAAAGCATAGGTACCACACACACATCCGCCTTCAGAGTGGTGAATAGTTTCCTGTGGGTTGCTGCTTTGCTTATGTGTACCACAAAGCAGGAAGGAGGCTCCATTTCTGAGTTGCAATACTCTCTTCTGGACAGAGAAACTGACTTTATTGTAACATTTGTGCCTATAAAACATATAGCCTTGCAACAAGTGTGATCTCGTTTAGATCAAGAAGACAGCAGTTTCAATCACAGGCACAGCAGTAACGGCTACCACAATCAGAGAAGGTTATACCTAAGTAAACCCAAGGTTTTATGACACAGATGCAATTTATGCATAC